CACACTCACACATTATCACTGTTTTGGCAGAGGTGCCCGAATACAACAGTTAATAAGCAAATACGTATAAATATACACAAGCATATCCCTCCAAACTGCCAATACCCAAACCCCTCTTTAAGTGCAGGCATTTATTGATGACTCCCTTTCCAGGACTCCATCCGAACAATAATGAAAATAACACCCTGTTTCCCAGAATCCCTTCACTAAATTTACCCTGGCGCACACTCCAACAGATCGTCAGGTCCCCCCAAGTACCATTCGTCTTCCAATCACTCCTACTAACATCCTTCAGAGGCAACGCTTGCATGATATTTTAAGATATTATTAACCCTTTGAGTTTCAGACGTACAATATGGCTACGACCCAGGGTTTATGACTACTAGTATGCTTACTCTACCCAGTGGTTTTTGACTGTAACGAGTACGCGCTAAATTCACTAGCGCCTCAAATCTATGTGAGGGAGAAAGGCATGGTAGGCCTCCATATGAAAGAATGGGTCATGTGTCAGTGTGCATGTTATAAAAAAAATCCTGCAGCAGCACAGTGTAACATAATGAGAAAAAATAAACTTTGACAGTTTTTTTTGGAATAAAACAGCGAATTTGCACGTATTTTTCGTATGGTATTTATTGTTGGTAATTCTAGATTTGCGTTGTCCATTTAATAGAATGGAAGGCATAATCAATGAGAAATTGAGATGATTTGGATTGGTTTTAACAATGAAATGTGTGAACCTTGAAATTGATCTCAAAGTACATAAATGTTCCGTATTTTTACCAAAGTTCGAAAAGTAAAACAAATCATGCACGTCAACTGGAAGTCTCCTAATATGCTTTTGCAAGTGCCAGATAGATTCATGCCAATTTTTTAACACTATGCAGTAGTCTGCATAATAACAGTAAATCTTCTATTTTTGTGAGAATAAAATTTCAAATGTGGAAAAGGCAAAAGAATGTAAGAGGGGCCTTGAGACGTGATTTAACTGAACAGAGGGAAATTCTTTTAGTGCCAGGATGTATTTCTGTTCGTCTCTGGACCTATTTCGTGAAAAATTGGCATCTTTGAAATTTGTGTGAAATTGGCTAAATTCTAAATTCTGACCACAGTACTGATATTGAAATTGGTATATGGGGTGTTTCTTGCAACTCAGTCAATAGACAAATAGAGTTCTAGCGAAATATCTTCATGTTTTTTGCGACTAGTACAGTGAACTGGGCCGAAAAAGGGCTCAAAGTGGGCAAAATCGCCGATTCCGTAAACATTCCGGGAGACGCTAACTTCCGCGAGAGCATGAATTTCCGTAAGTTTTCCATCGAAATTTCATATTTTTTGGTGTCATTATATCGTGAAAAGATTCTCTATCTTTTCATAAGAAAAAATTATTATTTTTTTTTTTAAATTTGTTAGGCCGACCCTGAGAACGAGTCTCGGATAGGGCACTGTCGACCCTCCAAAGGGATTTAAGGAAAAAAAAATGCGTCCTTATAAACTGCAAAGTATGGGTATATGGTGGATGTGGGTCGGAAATTTAAGATTACAGTCCAAGGTGGAGACCTAAAAATTTGCCCTTAGTGCGTCCTTGTAGGTGGGGTGGTAAAATGAACCGTTTACCGATATTTTTAGCTGGATATTTAATAACTCTGTTTTCCAAAAACATGAATGTAGTTTGGGTCTATAATTGAGAGTAAGTTTACTGGTCATCATGCCAGTTTGATATTTTAATGTAGCTTGCATGTTTACAGTGTTACTAAGTATAGCTGGGGTTGCGTGTGGTCCATCTGCAAATAGAATGGGATTAAGGAGTCACAAAAGCATATGGTTAGTCCTGATGTAAAAAAGAAAGATAAGGACCTATGCTACATCCCTGTGGGTACTGGCCAACAAAACAACCTATTCCATACACCCTGTAACATCTGCCACAATGCTCCCCTATCCACTATTTTGTGTTTTTTTCAACAAAGCTCAGCCCATATCCACACCAAGCAGTGGCCCAAAAAGAAAAACGGTAAGTTTCTCTTTTTTAAATTTGTAATCTTATTGCACAGGAGAAGGGGTTACTAGCCCCTTGCTTCCGGCATTTTATGTCGCCTCATACAACACCATGGCTAACCGAAGTAAGAATTCCTTCCAGCTTCCCCATGGAGATTAAGAGGAAATAAACAAGAACAAGAACTAGAAAGAAAATAGAAGAAGAACCCAGAGGGGTGTATATAGATATATAGTGCTTGTACATTTAGTGTAGTGTAACTAAGAGTAAGCAGAAGTACAAGTACAGACCTGAAATCTGCATGTTTATGCGACAGAAAAAAGACACCAGGAATCCTACCATCATGTAAAACAATTACAGGTTTCAGTTTTACACACTCTTGGCAGGACGGTAGTACCTCCCCGGGCAGTTATTTTGCTGGCGTACCAACTCTACTAACCTGACCACTATCATATGCCTTTTCTAAATCCATAAATGCAATGAAAACTTCCCTACATTTATCTAAATATTGTTCACATATATGCTTCAATGTAAACACTTGATCTACACATCCCTTACCCATTCTAAAGCCTCCTTGCTCATCTGCAATCCTGCTCCCTGTCTTACCTCTAATTCTTTCAATAATAACCCTACCATACACTTTACCTGGTATACTCAGTAAACTTATTCCCCTATATGTAATTTTTACAATCTCTCTTGTCCCCCTTCCCTTTATATAAAGAAATTACACACACACACACTGCCAATCCCTAGATACCTTCCCTTCTTTCATACATTTATTAAACAAATACCAACCACTCTAACACTATATCCCCCCTGCTTTTAACATTTCTGTCATGATCCCATCAGTTCCAACTGAATTACCCCCTTTCAATCTATGTAATGCCTCATGCACCTCCCCCACACACACATCTTGCTCTACTTCACTCCCAAAAGATACTATACCTTCCTGGCCAGTGCATGAAATTACTGCCTCCCTTTCTCCATCGACATTTAAAAGTTCCTCAAAATATTCCCGCCATCTACTCAATACCTCCAGCTCCCCATCTACTAAGTTTCCTACTCTGGTTTTAACTTACATATCCATTCGTTCCCTAGGCTGTCTTAACTTGTTTATGTTACTCCAAAACTTTTTCTTATTCTCAGCAAAATTTCTAGACAGTGCCTCTCCCACTATCATTTGTTCTCCTTATGCAGTCTCTCAGCACTCTCTTCACTGTTTTTTACTCTCCATATACTTTGCCCTTCTTATATCACCTCTGCTTTGTAAAAACCTCTCATAAGCTACCTTTTTCTCTTTTATTGCACCCTTTACCTGATATAGTGTGTTTAATGCATTAGATAAGGCTACAAATGTTATAGAAGCAAGATTTCTTATCTTAAACTGTGGTTGCTGGTGTATATCAATGATTCTGAACAGAGTGGAGAGGGATGCTGTGGTCCTACTGGGCTGAGGCAGAAGGTTGTGGATTGTTTGCCAAGGTGGATGACTGAGGCTCTGACACTAAAGTCTATGGTTGTACTGGAGCAGTGAAAAATTCTGTAACGAGTCTTTGGTCTCTCTTATTCTGCAGTACCTAATACAACTCATGGTAAAGCATGATCAGTTGCTTTAGGCGCCTGAAGAACGTGTGGGAAAAATAGGCTTATGGTCATTAGACCCTCCCCTCCCTCCAAGAAAAAGCAAACCAAATTGTTTTAAAGCTTACCAATTTGTCAAAACTCAAAAATATTAAAATATTCTAATCACTGTAGTTGCTTTGGGATGTTAAGTAAACATAAGACTCATCTGATGGTGATTTCAGGACTTAGCCAGAAGCTACATCTCTTATGTCACTCTTGTTATTGTGTTACAAGAACATCTAACGTAGCGAGTGTCAGCTGTAATGATATTATGATATTTGGACACCACAACTGCTCTGATTAGTAAGCAGGACACAATTTAATTAGAATCCTGTCCAGAAGTAATCACATGCCCAGATACCAATTAACCCCAGGTATAACAACTAGGGCATAGGCAAAGTCCTCTTTCCTTGTCTTGTTCATTAAGTAAATTGCAATCCATAATTTATACAAGGCAAGTAGGGATTTAATCAGGTATGGTGGTGAAGGGCTTACATGCAGCCACAGAGTGTAAAAGTTTGTCCAAATATCATCATCAATGTGCCATACTTTGCATTTGTGTGAAGTCCTGCTCTTCAGTGATCAGGTGTGCCATAACACTGATCTTGGACTAAACCCAGGAATCAGGTGTCATCAAAGACATTCTGGTAAGTGTAACAGTGTCCAACGAACTATGTTTATACAGTCCTTAGAGATATGAGTACAATCTGTCTGACAAAGGCAGGCCCTGGGAATGGCTGCAGGCCTGATCCACTGTGAGGCCTGTCATGAACCCGGCCATGGGGGTGTTGACCCTCAGAACACCTTCCAGATATACTCCAGGACCTGGGGAGGTCAGTATGAGACATGCAAGTCACTTAGACAAAGGTCATAATTTTTTTCAGATTTCTGCTTAGTGCTAAGATGCTAAATGATTAATGAAATTGACAAATAAAAATACTTAGTTTTTAAGACTTGATGTGCTGTTGGACTGCGAGGAAGTAACATTTATAAAAGGATTCAGGGAAACTGGTTAGCCAGATTCGAGTCCTGGAGGTGGAAAGTACAGTGCCTGCACTCTGAAGGAGGGGTGGAGATATGCTGCAGTTTCTGAACTGAAGTGTTGGCATAACTCTGACAAGACAGTGATGGAGTGAGTGATGATGAAAGTGTTTCTTCTTTTTCAGGTCACAATGCCTCAGTGGGAAATGGCTGATGTGTTAATAATATAATAATAAAAAAACTTAGTCATATTAAAGTACCTATTTGCTACATTTATGGCTTCAGAACACTTGTACAAAAGGGTGGCCATATTAGGTGTTGCAAAGCTGTGAAAACCGTATGGAGTTATTATGAAGCGTGAAGAAAAGGTTAGGGTGTGAATGTTAAAACAGGGAATACTACTAACTTTTTTTAGTTGCAAATTGAAGAGCATTGACTGCACTTCGTATATCACCGCCGGATGTTTCTGCTAATATCTGGAGTGTCTCACGGGTAGGGAGTGGCTGCATCTTTCTTCCCTCAGAAGCACTCTCTATACTCAATATGCGACTCAATGCCTTCACCAGTAATCCACTTGCTATAGGGTTGAACCTAAAAAAGATTTCTAAAGTGAGAACAAACTATAAATGTGCACATTTACCCTTTCACTGTGCAGACCCCTGAAATTAATATTGCTCCCAGTGTCCACTTTTTAAAAGCTGTCTTCCTTGGTTGCTTCCCAGGTTTAGGTCATTACTTAACCTTAAAAAACCTTGTAGTTCCTTCAAAACTTGCCAAATACATTCAGTGTCAGCTCCTTCAATATAAAAATTTTGATGCAATAAGTTTTTTCTGAGAGAAGAGCTACTCCATCTCTTTATCAGTGAAATAATTTAAAACCTTGTATGTAGCATTTGGTAGGCGTGTCTCAATTATTCAAATTAAACTATGTTTTGGTTGTAATAATATACTTCCTGCACTTGAAATTATTTAATTAATAATAATAATAATAATAATAATAATAACAATAATAATAATAATATCTTTATTTCTAAAAATACATGTACAAGGTATACAAGCCTAGCTGACATGAATGACATACAGTGGACCCTTGGTTATCAGCCGTAATCCATTCCAGAAAGCCGGCCTTAAACTGAAATGGTCGATAACCGAAATAATTATTCCCATAAGAATTAATGTAAATACAATTAATCCGTTCCAGACACCCAAAAATATTCACAAAAAAAAAAAATGTATTTTTTAGAGATTAATTATAGTTTTACATACACAAACAATGAGAACTAAATAAAATAATACATGAACAATTAAATCAGTATTACATACCTTTATGGAAGATAGCGAGGAGGAGAGTTTTATTGTTTGGAAGGGGAATCCCCCTCCACAAGGACTTCAGGTATCAAAGCCCTATCTGGGGTTAGTTCCCTTCTTTGTCTTTTAATGCCACTAAGACCAGCTTGAGAGTCACTGGACCGCTGTCGCACAAAATATCTGTCCAGAGAGCTCTCTTTCTGGTCTCTCTAAGATTTCCCTGAAGTGGGACAAGGTTGTCACTGAACCTGTTCCAGATGTAACTTGTTTCAGCTTGATCGGGTGATATTTCTCAGCAAAAGCTGCACCTAGTCCACATTGCACAAATCTCCTTAATCTCTTGAAGAAGGCACCTCCTTCACTCCCTCTTCCTCTGAAGCAAGGTCCTGAGCTATGGTCTGTTACTGTTCCAGATGAAACTCTTGCAGCTCTTCAGTGGTTAGCTCTTCCCTGCGGTCCTCCACCAACTCTTCCACATCCTCATCACTAACCTCCAACCCCATGGACTTGCCCAGAGATACAATGAATTCCACAACAGGTGTAGGGACACATTTTGACCACAATTTTCTCCAAGAAGGTCAAAGTCCTGGAAGTCACTCCCTCCCAAGCCTTACCTATAAGGCTTATGCAATGGAGGATATTGAAGTGATTCCTCCAAAACTCTTAGGGTCAAATCTGTGTCCGAGGTCACTTCAGAGCACCTTTGAAACACTGCTTTGGTGTCTAGTTTTTAAAGTTAGAAATGACCTGTTGGTCCATGGGCTGGATGAGAGCAGTGGTGTTAGCAGGCAAGAACTTCAGTGTGATGAAACAGATTTCCACAGACAATAGGTCTCCCAAGTTTGGAGGATGAGCAGGAGCACTGTCCAGTACCAGGAGGCACTCGAGTGGCAATTTATGTTTCAGGAGGTATTTTTTCACACTCGGGCCAAACACATCATTCACCCACTATGAAAATTTGCCTTGTGATCCATGCATTATTGTTAGCCCTCCACATGACACACAATTGACTCTTGAAAACATTGTGTTTCTTGAACACACTGGGATTTTCAGTGACACACCAGTAAGGGCTTCACTTTGAAATCCCCAGTAGCATTAGCACAGAACAAAAGAGTAAGCCTGTCTTTCATAGGCTTGTGTCAAGGCAGGGCTTTTTCCTCCTGCATAATGTAGGTCCTCTTTGGCATTTTCTTCCAAAACAGGCCTGTTTCGTCACAACTTAACACTTGTTGGGGAAGGAATCCTTTAGCCTCTACATACCCCTTTAAATCTTGCACAAATTTTTCAGCCACACATTTATCAGAACTTGCAGCCTCTCCATGTTTTACCACACTGTGTATGCCACTACACTTCTTAAATCTCTCAAACCAGCCTTTGCTGGCCCTAAATTCACTAACAGCAGCACTTGTTCCAGGCATTTTATTTACATGATCCGCATATAACTTTTGCCTTCTCACAAATCATCGACTCCACAACACTATCTCCCGCTAGTTGTTTTTCCCTGATTCAAAACAATAACTTTTCCATATCTTCCATTATTGGTGACCTTTGTTTCGTTATCACATTTATTCCTTTCGTAACATCAGCTTCCTTGAATTGTTCTTTCTTTGCCAGGATGGAAGTGATGATAGATTTGTTTTTCCCATACACTCGCATACCACTCAAATTTTTCAATCACTTCTCACTTAACCCCTTGACTGTCTCAGCCCCCAATCCTGAGGTGTCTCCTGGTGTCGCAAAATTTAAAAAAAAAAAAAAAAAATGCCCATTTACCAATTTCAACTACCCAATAATGTGGTCAGAAATTTACAATTTGATCAATTTCACGACAATTAAAAAATATGACAATTTCAAAATAAGGTACAGAATGAACAATGCAGACATTCCTGGCTCTAAAATAGCATTTTCTTTGTTCATCAGTCATGTCTCCAGGCCCCTCTGATATTATGCCTGCTTTCTACTTCGAATTTTTATTCAAACAAAAAATAGAAGATTTACTGTTATGCAGACTACTGCAATACTGCAATAATTGTACAAATAATGTCAACCCATTCATGACTGCAAAATTAGAATGGCTAGTTGGACATTTATTGGACAATGACATTTGTTTACTTTTGAACATCGGCAAAAATCAAACATTTTCCCTAGTTTGAGCTCCATTTCCAGGTTCTTTTCATAGTAAAACCAATCAAAATCACCTCTATTTCTATAATATTGTTTTCCTTTTTATCAAATGAGAACAAGAAAACGAGAATGGGGGGGGGGAGAACCATAAATACTATATGAAAATAAGACCCACAAAGTCGGCATTTTTTTAATTAAAAAAAAAAAACGGTCAGTTTTTTTTTACTCATTATGTACTGCATGCTCCAGATTTTTTCTCATATGAGCAACACTGACTCACACAAACACTATTCTCTCACATGTGGGCCTACCCAGCTTTCCCTGCTTGATTTGAAGCCGATAGAATTTGATGAGTGTATATAAGTCAAACACGGTACCTCCATAAGATATATAACGACCAAAACAGTCAAAGGGTTAAATTCATCGTGTTTCCACTTTACCAACAGAACTCTACTAGGCACTTTCACTTTTGGTCATGCTTATTTCTTCGCAGTTGCACTTAAATAATAACAAAGAAAACACTGATTTATAGTGAAAAATGTTCTTGGATGAATGTGCCAAACTTTCCTCACTACTCGGACCATCAACACAGCTACACTGACTCAGAACGGAGTGTCGCCGGCCGATAGGCGAAATAACGGCTGATAACCGGAAGCCGAAAAACCGGCCAATAACTGAGAGTTCACTGTACTACTATATAGAAAGCCGCTTGTTATGCTCTCAGAGGATTTCAGGCAAATTAGGTCAGTTTTGTCCCTGGATGTGATCCACACCAGTTGACTAACACCCAGGTATCCATTTTACTGATGATGCACATAGACAACCAGTGTAAGGAAACACGCTCAATGTTTCCACCCTCGCCAGGAATCGAACCCGAACCCTCGCTGTGTGAAGTGAGAGCTTTAGCCACCAAGCTATTATGGGGAAGTGCTAAATCCATAGGGATTATACAGAGCCTGTGGGAAAGGGGGTGGAAGGCATCTAGGCTAAATTCAGGAAACTGGAGCAAAGATCCAATTCTCTAGATCAAGAGCCCTTTGCCAGCATCAAGGAACTTCCTTTGAGGGGTCCTAGCTCTGTAACTACAGTTGTGTGTGTGTGTATGTATCATGGTAATGTATATATATATATATTATTTATTTTTTTTTTATATTATCACACTGGCCGATTCCCCCCAAGGCAGGTGCCCAAAAAAGAAAAACTTTCATCCACAATTCACTCCATCACTGTCTTGCCAGAAGGGTGCTTTACACTACAGTATTTTAAACTGCAACATTAACACCCCTCCTTCAGAGTGAAGGCACTGTACTTCCCATCTCCAGGACTCAAGTCCGGCCTGCCGGTTTTCCCTGAACCCCTTCATAAATGTTACTTTTGCTCCACGAAACTCCAACAGAACGTCAAGTATAAAAACCATTTGTCTCCATTCACTCCTAATCAAACACACTCACGCATGCCTGCTGAATTCCAAGCCCCTCGCACACAAAACCTCCTTTACCCCCTCCCTCCAACCTTTCCTAGGCCGACCCCTACCCCGCCTTTCCTTCCACTACAGACTGATACACTCTTGAAGTTATTCTGTATTCGCTCCATTCTCGTCCACTGTCCGAGACCAACAACAACAACCCTTCCTCAGCCCTCGGGACAACAGTTTTTGGTAATCCCGCACCTCCTCCTAACTTCCAAACTACGAATTCCTCTGCATTATATTCACACCAACAACATTGATCTCCAACATGACACTCCACTGGCCTTCCAGCCTTCTCCTTCCTCCCTCCTGCAACATTCATCACGCCATGCTTCACACACCAAAAAGAGTGTTTGTAAAACTTACTCTCATACATTCCCCCCTTTGCTCCAAGGACAAAGTTCTTTTTTGTCTCCACAGACTCCAAAGTGCACCACTTCACCCTTTTTCCCCTCATCAATTCTATGATTCACCTCATCATTCATAGACCCATCCGCTGACACGTTCCCACGTCCCAAATCTCTGAATACATTCACCTCCTCCCTACTCTCCTCCCTCCAATCTGATATCCAATCTTTCATCACCTCATCTTTTGTTATCCTCATAACCTTACTCTTTTCCTGTATTCACTTTCAATTTTCTCTTTTGCACACCTCTACCAAATCATCCACCAATCTCTGCAACTTCTCTT